GGGTTGGGAGTCAGGACCATCATTTATACATTCCTGTGGCCCACGGAGACATGTGAACTCTCAGTTTTGGAGCCAAACTGAACTCAACCAATATGAGTACATTTTCTCTTGAGACCCGTATGAGACTGGAGCAATGAGAGTTCACAGATGCTCTAAACCTGGTGTTTGATGATGTACATGGTCTCCTCTAAACTCAGGGAGAAGAGGATTTTGTCGAGCATGAGAGAAACTGGAGAGGCAGGCACATGAATACATCCAAAATCATTCTTTTGCTCAACTCGTGCCAGACGATGGCTTTAGTTGCACATCTTCTGAGGGTTCAGAGAAGGTACAATGGACACGCAAAGAAATATAGGGTACTGCAGTCATGTTGAGAGAGGTCAGAAATGAAGAAGTAGATATGATATCCTCTAGTGAAATCATCAACACCCTTCAAACCTCAGGAGTTGAAAATTCACTGATTACAAGCAGCAGGCTAGATGCAAACATTCCAAATATTGCTCAAGAAACCCAATTATTACACTGTAGACGGCTTTACTAATTGAGTTATGAGAGGACATGTATCCAAAAGGTATCTCCCTGAACTCCGTGTATACTGTTTTCTTAGGATCCTGAGTCATGGGGATTGCCAGATGTTGCCCAAAAACAGAGGTCCCAACTGAAATATATTGTCTCTTCTGGATGTATTTGGAAGAAAGGTCTGTGGGAGACAGCCTCCCAAGGCACGTATCAGTTTCCTTTTTGACATGCCCTTTTTGGCTCCTTTTCTCCAGAAGCTGGCCTGGAAATAAGCTACTATCCCAGTAACAAAGGGCTGCAACCAGGTGGCTTGCCACGAATCCTCTGCAAATGTAATATTCTCCCAAATGCTGTTCCTGCTTGATTGTGGTCAGCATATGACTGTCCTTGCAATGGATACGGGATTGGCTGATACTTTTTTGGGGTCAATGATAAGTACTTTATATTGCCTTGAGGAGCGGTGATGACTTAAATATCACATACAATGGCATGACGCTGAAGCCCAGCGTAGGAGACAGTTGTAGAAACCAACATAGGGTAGATAGTGATGGTTCCGTCATTACGATCATGTTTGGTGTTGGCAAACTTGAAGAACAGGAAGCCATATTCCAGAGCACCCCATGTGAATATGCTCCTCCATAAAAATTTCCCATTTTGTCCTTTTACTTTAATCCTCATCCCAGGTTCTGGGCATTTTAGCATCCCTTGTAGAGCACCCCATCTTTCTTTGTATCTTTCACTGGAATATTCTGCTAAGCATGGCTACATTTCATGCCTGGAGTAAAGGGAGCTTTAAGATGCTCTCAGCCTGGTGTTGGATGATGTCCAGGGTCTCCTGTAACCTCAGGGAAATGAGGATTTTGTCAAGCTTGAGAGAAACTGGAGAGGAAGGCTCGTGAATACAAACTAAAACATTTTTTCACTCAAACTGTGTCAGACGAAGACCTTTCTGGCACATCTTCTGAGGGCTCAGGTTTTGTGGAATGGTGATGCAAACAAGTAGAGGGTGCTGCAGGCAGGTTGAGATGAACCAAAACTAAGAAGTAGATATCATATCCACTTGTGAAACCCTCAACACTCTTGAAAGCTCCAGGGTTGAAAACTGACTAATTACAAGCAGCAGGCTAGATTCAAATATTCAAAATTATTGCTCAAGAGCCAATTATTACATGTAGACTGCTTTGCAAATTGAGCTATGAGAGGGCACGCATCCAAAATGTATCAATAGTACCCTGTGTATGCTGTGTATTTGGCTCCTGATCATGGTGATCACCTTACATTGCCTGAAAACAGAGATACCAACTAAAAAGTATTGTCTCATCTAGATTTATCTGGAAGAAAGATCTGTGGAGGCAGCCTCCAAGTGGATTTATCAGTTTCCTTTTTGACACACCCTCTTTGACTCCTTTTCTCCCAAAAGCTGGCTTGGAAATAAGCTGCTATACCTAAAAGAAAGGGTTTTAATGAGGTGACTGACCACAGATCCTGTGAAAATGAAATATTCTCCCAAATGCTGTTCCTGGTTGACTTGTGGTGAGCATATGACTGTCCTTGCTGCATATATGGGATTGGCGGATACTGTTGTTGGGTCACTAATAAATTCTTTATATTGCCTTGAGGAGTGGTGATGACTAAAATATCACGTACAATGGCATGACACTGAGGCCTAGCCTAGAAGACAGTTATGGAAACCAACGTGGGGAAAATGATGATGGTCCCTTCAGTTTAATTGAGTTTGGCACTGGAGAAGTTGAAGTATGGGAGGCCGTCTTGTGGAGAATGTGGATATGCTCCTCCATAGCATTGCCCATGTTATCCTTATACTTTAATCCTCATCCCAGGTCCTGAGTATTTTAGCATCCCTTGCTGAGCACCGCATCACACTTTGTGTCTTTTAGTGGAAAATTCCGCTCAGAATGACTGCATGGCATGTACCGTCATAGAGGAGTGCATGACTTCGATTGGTTGTCATGATCAATGGTTTACCAGTCACCGAGGGTCATCAATCAAGGAGGTGCTCTTGGTCTTGGAGGCAAGTTGGACCTTCACAAATGTGTGCAGATTTTCTCTCAAGGCCTGGTTGAAACTGGACAAAAAGGTGCCTTGAGATGCTCTTGTCATGCTGTTTGGGAGGCCCATGCTTCTTTTCCAAATGGAGGGTGAATACACATTTGTCCTGCTCTAAGGAAAGAGAGAATCAGGCTTGTTTAATAATAGTCAATGTATCTGTGGCTCATGATGTAAATAGCCATGTCCTCTGCTGGGCATCTTCTGAAAAATTAGAGCTTGGAATGGTGGCACAGAGCAAAGAGAATCCACTGGTCTCTTGGTGAGATGGTGCACACAAGTCAAAAATTTGTCAAAACACCACCTATCTTCAGAACTCAAGATGTTAGAACACACACAGGTTAAACCACATGCAAAATGCCCCATAACCATGCTTTGCTATGGAAATTCATCATTGAGAGTGAGGAACTCTTTTCCACCTGAGATACAAAGGGAGGCATGTCCAAGCTGTATCAAAATACCCCATCTGAACTTGACTCCATTCATGGAGGAGCTTCTGTCTCAGCCTACAGGATGGATTACACATAGGCAGGTATCTAATTTCATCATTAAGTGGGTGAACCGATTAAATGAAACAGCACAATTAGGGAGGTAGTAGACAGCTTGTTCATTCAAGCTGTCCTCCTCCTTTTCACATGATCCCTTCTTCTGAAAAATCTTTGGGAATACCTGTTAATCTCTGGATGAAGGACGTTACCCAGGTGCTTGGCCTCATTTCCTCTGAAAGTCAAATAGTCTCCAGTAATCTGGTCGCATTTGTTTACTTGTGGTGAGCCTATGGGCCTCCTTTGAAAGAAAGCAGCATAAGAGGATGCCTAGCTGCATCAGTAATGAAATCTTTGCCTTGTCTCTAGAGAGGTGTTGTCTTAAAAGTCTTGTGCAATTGAGTTACGCTGTGGACCTTCTTACGTGACAGGTGTGCAAACTGATGTGAGCCTGATGATGGCCCTGAAATTGCTCTAGTTGTGGAGCACTCTAAGTATGAGGCTATCCATGGGTGCTCAACCCTGATGAAGCACTCCTCCATGAAACAGCCAAGTTAGATTGTAATGTCTTGACCCCTTCACAAATGCCAGACACTTTAACAAACCCTTCCTTACCAGAAATTCTCTCTTTGTGTCTCTCAATGAAATATTGTGCCCATGCTGGATGGATGCCATGCACCATGCTTTGGGAGAGCATGGATGGGTTTGGGAGTCACGACAATCATTCATAAGTTCCAGTAGCCACTTGGGAATGGGAACTCTCAGTTCTGGAGCCAAACTGAACTCTGAACCAATATGAGTATCTTTTCTCTTCACACCTGTATAAGACTGGAGAAAGGAGAGCCTGCAGATGCGCCAAACCAGGTGTTTGATGATGTCCATAGTCTCCTCTAAACTCAGGGAGAAGAGGATTTTGTTGAGTGTGAGAGAAACTAGAGAGGCAGGCTCGTGAATACATGCTAAAGCATTCTTTCACTCAACTTGTGCCAGATGATGGCCTTAGTTGCACATCTTCTGAGGGCTCAGCAAATGTGGAATGTTGATGGAAACAAGTAGAGGGTGCTGCAGTCACATTGAGAGGGGACAGAAACTAAGAAGTAGATATGATATCCACTTGTGAATTCATCAACACTCTTGAAAGTTCCAGCAGTGAAAACTCACTTATTAAAAGCAGCAGGTTAGATTCAAACATTCCAAATATTGCTCAAGAAATCAAATTATTACACTGTAGACTGCTTTGCAAATTAAGATATGTGAGGAAACGTATCCAAAATATATCACCCTGAGCCTCATGTATGCTGTGTAATTTCCTCCTGATCCATGGGGATCGCCAGATGTTTCCCAAAAATAGAAGTCCCAATTGAAATGTATTGTCTAGTCTGGATGTATTTGGAAGAAAGTTCTGTGGAAGACAACCTCCCAGGGAAAATATGAGTTTCCTTTTTGCCATGCCCTTTTAGGCTAATTTTCTCCAAGAATCTGGCCTGGAAATAAGCTGCTATCTCAGCAACAAAGGGTTGTAACCAGGTGGCTGGCCTCAAATCCTCTGAAAATGAAATATTCTCCAAAACACGATTCCTGGTTGACTTGTGGTGAGCATATGATTGTCCTTGTTATGGATATGGGATTGGCAGATACTTTTGTTTGACCAATGATGAGTACTTTATATTGCCTTGAGGAGCAGTGATGACTTAAATATCACGTACAATGGCAATACGCTGAGTCTCAGTCGAGGAGACTGTTGTGGAAACCAAAATGGGGAATATGGTGATGGTCCCGTTGGGATGATTGAGCTTGGTGCTGGAGAACTTGAAATACAGTAGGCCATCTTGTGGAGCACCCCATGTGGATATGCTCCCCCATAAAAATACCTCATGTTATCCTTATTCTTTATTTCTCATTCCAGGTCCTGGGCATTTTAGCACCCCTTGCAGTGCATCCCATCTCACTCTGTGTCTTTCAGAGGAGAATTCTGCTCAGCATGGTTGTGTTTCATGCAACGTCATACAGGAGTGCATGACTGCAATTGGTTGTCGTAGCCAATGATTTACCAGTCACCGATGATCATCAATCAATGAGGAGTTCTTGGTCTTGGAGGCAAGCTGGACCTTCACCAATGCATGCAATTTTTCTCTCAAAGCCTGGGTGGAACCTGGATGAGAAGGAGCATTGAGATGCACTTGGCATGCTTTTTTCAGAGGCCCATGTTTCTTTTCCAAATGGAGGGTAAATAGACTTTTTTCTTGCCCTAAAGAAAAGAGAGAATCAGGCTTGTTTAATAATAGACAATGTATCTGTTGCTCACAATGTGAATGGCCATGTCATCAGCGGGGCACCTTCAAAGAACTCAGAAAACTTGGAATGGTGGCACACAGCGAAGGGAATCCACTGGTCTTCTGGTGAGTGGGGGCACACAATTCAAAAATTATTGTCCGGCTTTTTTGAAACCACCACCATTATTCAGAACTCAAGATGTGAGAACACACACATGTCAACCACCTGGAAAAATGTCCCATAACCAAGAATTGCCATGAAAACTCATCTTTAGGAAGGAGGAACTCTTTCTCACCTGAGATATGAAGGCAGGCATGCCCAAACTATATCAAAGGTACCTTATCTGGACTTGGCCTCAGTCCTGGAGGACCTTCTGTCTCAGCCTACTGGATGGATTCCACAGGAGCAGGTATCTCATTTCATCATTATGTGGCAAAACCAATTGTATGAGACATCATAATTAGGGAGGTACAAGACAGCTTGTTCACTCAAACTGTCCTCCTCATTTTCACAGGGATACCTTCTTCAGAGAAGGCCTTGGGAATAACTGTTAGTTTCTGGGCTGAAGGACATCACCCAGATGCCTGGCCTCATTTTCTCAGAAAGTGAAATAGTCTCCAGTAATCTGATCGCGTTTGATTACTTGTGGTGAGCCTCAACTGGGTGCTGAGAAATTAGAGAACTAGGAATGGTTGCACAGAGCAAATAGAATCCATTGGTGTCCTGGTGAGAGGGGGCACACAAGATAAAATGACTGTCCAACTTTTTGGAAACCACCACCTTTCTTCAGAACTCAAGATGTGAGAACACACACATGATAACCACCTGGCAATATGGCCCATAGAAAGCTTTTCCATGAAAACACATTTTTGAGAATGAGGAACTCTTTCTCACCTGAAATACAAAGGGAGGCATGTCCATGCTGTATCAAAAGTACCTTGTCTGGATTTGGCTCCAGTCATGGAGGAACGTTTCTCTCAGCCTACTGGATGGATTCCACATGAGCAGGTATCTGATTTCAGCATTATGCGGATGAGCCAGTTGTATGAGAAAGCATAATTAGGGAGGTAGTAGACAGCTTGTTTACTCAAGCTGTCCTCCTCCTTTTCACAGGGATCCTTTCTTCAGAGAAGGCCTTGAGAATAACTGATAATCTTTGGGATGAAGGATGTCACCCAGGGTCCTGGCTGCATTTCCTCAGAAATTCAATAGTGTTCAGTAATCTGGTCACATTTGGTTACTTTTGGTGAGCCAATGGGACTCTTTCCAAAGGAAGCAGCAAAGGAGGGTGCCTAGCTTGGTCAATGATGACATTCTTGCCTTGTCTGTAGAGAGGTGTTGTGTTAAAATTCATGTGCAATAGAGTTACACTGAGGACCTTCTTACGTTATAGATGTGCAAACTGATGTGAGCCTGATGATTGCCCTGACATCACTGTAGTTGTGGAGTACTGTAAGCCGCAGAGGTTATCCAGGGTTGTTCGACCCTGAAAAGGCACTCCTCCATGAAACTGGCAAATTCGATTACATTGTCTTGACCATTTTCCCAAAAGGGGGCACTTTAACAATCCCTTCATTACCACAAATTCTCTCTTTGTATCTCTCGATGAAATATTCTGCCCATGCTGGATGGATGGCACACACCATCATAGTGGTGAGCATAGCTGTGATTGGGATGCATGACCATCATTCATAAGTTCCTGTGACCCATTGAGGCATGGGAACTCTCATTCTAGAGCCAAACTCAACTCTGAATCAATAGGATAACCTTTTCTCCTGAGAACCATATAAGACTGGAGTAAAGAGAGCCTTCAGATGCTCTCAGTCTGGTGTTTGAAGATGTCCAGGGTCTTCTCTAACCTCATGAAGAGGAGGATTTGGTCTAAAAAGAGAGAAACTGGAAAGGCAGGCTAATGAATACATACTACAGCATTCTTTCACTCAACTGGTGCCAGATGATTTCCTACCTCCCTAATTATGCTTTCTCATACAATTAGTTCATCCACATAAAGCATTATTTTGCTCAACTTGTGCCAGATATTGCCTTAGTTGCACATCTTCTGAGGGCTCAGGGAATGTGGAATGCTGGTGCAAACATTAGAGTGTGCTGCAATCATGTTGAGAGGGGACACAAACTAAGAAATAGATATTATATTCACTTGTGAAATCATCAACACTCTTGAAAGCTCACAAGGTGAAAACTTACTGATTACAAGCAGCAGACTAGATTCAAACATTCCAAATATTCCTCAAGACACTCAATTTTTACACTGTAGACTGCTTTGCAAATTGAGATATGAGAGGACACACATCCAAAATGTATCATCCTGAACCCTGTGTATCCTGTGTTCTTTGGTTCCTGATCTATGGGGATTTCCAGACTTTACCCCAAAACAGAAGTCCCAACTGAAATGTATTGTCTCGTCTGGAAGTATTTGGAAGAAAGGGCTGTGGGAGGCAGCCTCAGAGTGGAATTATCAGTTTCCTTTTCCACATGCCCTTTTTTTCTCCTTTTCTCCAAGAAGCTGACCAGGAAATAAGCTGCTATCCCAGCAACAAAGGGCTGCAACCAGGTGGCTGGCCACACATCCTCTGAAAATGAAATATTCTCCAAAACGCTGTTCCTGTTGACTTATGGTGAGCATATGACTGTCCTTGCGATGGATATGGGATTAGCAGACACTTTTGATATGTCAATGATGAGTACTTTATATTGCCTTGAGGAGTGATGATGACTTAATATCACATACAATGGCATGCGCTGAGGCCCAGCTTAGGAGACAGTTGTGGAAAGAAACATGGGGAAGATGATGATGGTCCCAGCGGGATGATCGAGTTTGGTGCTGGAGAACTAACTGGAAGTACGGGACGCCATCTAGTGGAGCACCCCTATGTGGATATGCTCCTCCATAAAAATTTCCTGTTGCCCTTATTCTTTAATCCTCATCCCAGGTCCAGGGCATTTTAACATACTTTGCTGAGTATCTCATCTCACTTTGTGTCTTTCTGTGGAAAATTCTGCTCAGTGTGGTTGTATGGTATGCACCTTCATAGAGTAGTGCAAGACTACGATTCATTGTCATGACCAATGGTTTGCCAGTCACTGAGGGTCATCACTGAGGAGTACATGGTCTTGGAGGCAAGCTGGATCTTCACCAATGCATGAAGTTTGTCTCTCGAGACCTTGGTGAAAATGGATGGAAAGGCGCCTTGATATGTTCTTACCATACAGCCCTAGGAGGCCCATGTTTCTTTTCCAAATGGAGGGTGAATAGTCTTTTATCCTGCTATAAGTAAGAGAAAATCAGGCTCATTTAATAATAGTCAAAGTATCTGTTGCTCACCACGTGAATGGCCATTTACTAAACTGTGTGCCTCCTGAGAACTCAGAGAGCTTGGAATGGTGTCCAAGAGCAAAGAGAATCCAGTAGTCTCCTGGTAACAGGGGGCACAAAAGTAAAAAATTACTATCCAAATTTTTGAAACCACCAAATTTCTTCAAACTTAAGATATGAGAACATACACATGATAAACCCCTGGCAAAATGCCATATAACCAAGCTTATCCACTAAAACCCATCTTTGAGAAGGAGGAACACTTTCCAACCTGAGAAATGAAGGGAGGCATGTCCAAACTGTATCAAAGTACCCTGTTTGGACTTGGTTCCACTCCTGGAGGACCTTCTGTCTCAGCATACTGGGCGGATTCCACATGAGCAGGTATCACCTTTCATCATTATGTGGAGGAACCGATTGTGTGTGACAGCATAATTAGGGAGGTAGTAGACAGCTTGTTCACTCAAGTTGTCTTCCTCTTTTTCACAGGGATACCTTCTTCAGAAAAGGCCTTGGGAATAATTGTTAGTCTCTGGGATGAAGGACGTCATCCATGTGCCTGGCCTATTTTCCTCAGAAATTCAAATAGTCTCCAGTAATCTGGTCACGTTTGGTTACTTGTGGTGAGCCTATGGGAGTCTTTCCAAAGGAAGCCTCAAAGGAGGATGCCTAGCTGGGTCAATGATAAAACCTTTCCCCTGTCTCTACAGAGGTTTTGTCTTCAAAGTCATGCATAAGCTGACACGAACAAGTGGAAAAATATCCCATGCTCATGGATCGGAAGAATCAACATTGTGAAGATGTCCATCTTACCTAAGGCAATCTACAAATTCAATGCAATACCCATTAAATTACCAACAACATTCTTCTCAGACCTAGAAAAAACAACACAGGAATTCATATGGAAACACAAACGTCCAAGAATAGCCAGAACAATCCTCAGCAAAAAAAACAAAGCAGGTGGTATCACAATACCAGATTTCAAACTTTACTATAAAGCTACAATCATCAAAACAGCTTGGTATTGGTACAGAAGCAGGCATATAGATCAATGGAACAGAATTGAGATTCCAGAAGCAAAACCTCAATTTCTCAACCAACTCATCTTCGACAAAGCCCCACCACCTACCAATGGGGAGAGGAGAGCCTATTCAGTAAATGGTGCTGGGAAAACTAGCTGACCACATGCAGAAGATTGAAACAGGACCCCTATCTATCCCCATGCACAAAGTTTAACTCCAAATGGATCAGAGACCTAAATGTAAAACCTCAAACCATAAGAATCTTAGAAAAAGAAGGAAATACTCTCATGGAAATTGGAACTGGCATCCAATTCCTGTACAAAACTCGAAACCCACAGGACTTAAGAGAGAAGATAGACAAATGGGACCTTATTAAACTGACAAGCTTGTGCAAAGCCAAAGAAACCATCAAGAGAGCAGGGAGACAGCCTACAGACTGGGAAAAAGTATTTGCCAACTCTAGGTCTGACAAAGGCTTAACATCCTGGATCTACAAGGAACTGAAACATACTGAAAAGAAGAAAACAAACAACCCCATTATAAAATGGGCAAAAGATATGAACAGACACTTCACAAAAGAAGATATTCAAGCAGCCAACAAACGCATGAAGAAATGCTCAACCTGACTAATCATCAGGGAGATGCAAATCAAAACCACATTGAGATACCACCTAACTCCAATCAGAATGGCAATTATCAACAACTCAAAAAATAACAGCTGCTGGAGAGGGTGTGGTGCAAAGGGAACACTTCTACACTGTTGGTGGGAGTGTAAACTAGTGCAACCTCTGTGGAAAGCAGTGTAGTGATTCCTAAAAGCTCTAAAAATTCAGCCTTCCATATGACCCTGCAATCCCCCTACTGGGAATATACCCTGAAGAACACAAATCACTTTATAAAAAATATACCTGCACATGTATGTTTATCACAGCATTGTTCACAATAGCAAGAACCTGCAACAACCATGCTGCCCATCAAAGAGGACTGGATTAAAAAAATG